AGGACTGCCTCGGGCTATAAGAGTGGGTGGGCTGATGGAGGGAAGCAGAGCACGGATCCTTTGGCCTTTCAAAGTTATCAGGGCTGAGCACCTGAATCCCACTGCTCAGGGATGGGGGCTGTACACCTCGCTGCCCTTCACACCTCTGAATTCCTCTTATGAATGTGAGGGCTCACATCTGCCTCTGCTTTGCTGAGTTTACTCCCAGGTTTGAGGACGGCCGCCTCGGTGGTAGCTCTGATGCTGTAATCCAGCAAGGGGAAATGAAGCCTTTCTTTACTTAGGAACCGGTTTTATAGCGCAAGTAGGAAGCCTCTAAACTTTATCACAAAAAAAAAAAGTGATTTGGAATAGGTAAACAAACGTCCACATCCAGCTATAAACCAAACTACTGAAAACCATCAAGGGATTTTGTTGTCACTTTAGAAGCTGCTCGGCAGTAAAGAGCTGCACACAAAAACTCCAGCTATTAAAGGAAGGGTGCACAGAAAGGTATGTGCCCTAAGATTAATGTCGTCGAGTCAAAGAAAAGCTGTTATTTTTGACATTTTGACATAGCATCAGTTGAGGATCTGGTTCTTATTAGCCCTTTCTGTGCCTTTTAAAGCTCTATTTTTTTAAAACCAAAAATGTCAGGAAATTTGGAACAGAAACTTACAATAAAACACGTCCCCTGACCCTCTGATCTATCAATCTTTCAAATAAACAAAGATAGCTGGATGAGCCAGGAAAAGGTTATTATATATAGTTACCTTATGTACAATGGTCAGACACTCGCTGCACACACTGAGGTTACACAAAATCCCACGTGAGCAAAGCATTTCGTGCAAGGCTTCTGCCACAAATGCCACGTGTTACCCAGGGTGGTTTCTTTCTCTCGTTTTGTCCCGCGACCTTCAAATTTCACACCCTGTGTTATTTATAAATGAGACATTCAAGAAACACAAATTCTCAAATAGAAACGCGCGCTCCGTCAGTGGAAAAGCAAACAAAAGGAGCTAATGTACTGTGGCTAAAAAAATTTTCAAACAAAGCAGCAGTAATTTACTGCCCTGCTACTAACCGGACCCCACAAAGAGAATCCGAACCCTGAGCCCCATCTGGGGAGCCTGATTTACCCAATATCCCCCAGATAATAAAGGAAAATAAAAAGGTAAATTGTGCATGAATGCGAAAGCTGTAATTCTTCTCCTTTCACCACACGTATCAAATTCACATCCAGTGATTTCAAAAGAAAATCTGGAAATCTCTAAAGGACTGAGGCCGAAGTCAGGAGGCCCCGACCCTCCTGGCTTTGTCCACGGTTGCTTTTGTTGATGTTTCTTAAGATGTAGTTTGCCTAAGAGTTAAATTCTCCCCAGGCCATCAGAAGGATTTTCTCTATGAAGACTCAAGGCCAGGGCATATCCCTGCCTGGAAGGAATTGCTGAGGCAACAGCTTCAGCATGGGTTTGTCAGCACGGATGGCAAAGCTGCCTTCTCCAAAAGTCACTGATGTGCAGGGTAGCAGTGCAAACACTGCAGCTCTCCATGCCCTGCTTCACCCTGCCCTGGTCATTTTCTGCTGCTCCACACCATGCCTTGCTGCAGGCGATCCTTGTCTTGGTGTGCATTGGAATGCATGAAGATAAATCCCAGCTCCACCTCAAACCACCACCAGTGGATTTGGGGCACATTCTGCAAAATCCTGCCTCCTGCTGCCCTCTCCTTGGGGAATGTTTGCTCTCTGCACTGAGATCTGTGCCATGCAGAGCTGAGAGCAGCAGGGAGCTGTGAGCCGAGGCTTGGGATGGCAGATGTCTCAAAATGAAAACGGATCCCAAGCCCTGAACCATTCCCGTGTTTTATACTTGCTTATCAAAGCAGATGGGCTTTGTGAAAAGGGAAAGGAATACATGCAGGATCTGCAGATCTCACAGGGAAAGGTTTTCTTTCAAATCTGATGCGAGGAAAAGCCAACTCTTCCACCACCATTTGGTTCCATCAGGGAACCAAGAGCTCATGGTAAATGCAAAACTTTCTCAAATCAAGAGCTGGAGCCTGGCTGACGCTGGGGAGGTGATGCATAGGTACAAAGAAACGGGAAACCAGAGAGTCTTAAGCATCAGGAAAGTCAAGCCTGTCCCTCACAGCACCATGCCCCAAACAGAGCAGTGCTGTGGCTTCTCCCAGCCAAAGGGGAACCTTAGGCAGCAACCTGTGGCAGGAGGCTCACATCCTGCCTCCTCCCTCTGGGATGGGCTTTTCCCTCCCACCAGGCCCCCTCTCTTCCCCTGAAGTCCGTTTATTTCTCCTTATATAATTAAATACTTATTTGATCGCGTTTTCATTTCTCTTTTCCCTGGTGGCAGTCCCTCTGCACACCATGATTTACCAAGTTGGAAAAGAGGAAAACGCTCATAGCTACGTTTCTCTTATTTTAACCATGATTATTTTTTATTTTTATGCATAGTTTGTTTGTTTTTTTAAGGTTTTGGTGAGAAACCACCTCCTCCCTCCCATCAATCGTTGCTTTCAACAGCTCTTCACGGGTGGCTGCGTCTCTTTTAAATTCATTTCCTGTTAAAAAGAATAAACAGGCAACTGTTTAACGCTGTCGATTTAGCTTATTTAATAGAAATTGAAACCTGAATAGGGCTCAGTTGTAAGATAATCGCTGTAGAACTCTCCGAGGTAGGGAAAGCACCATATTAAGTAATTATTTCAAAACGCAGAATATTGTTTAACGAGCCCACGAGCTGTTCCTCCTTCCCAAATGCCGAAGGAGTGTTCAAGGAAGACATGCTTATTTCCACAAGACAGCAGATAGAGTTAGAGCCACTTAATGTGGACAGCTGCTTAATTGGGAAATCTGGCTGGAAACCGCTTTCATGTGGTGAACTTAATAGGCTTTAAAATAAGTTTTACTGGGCCGCCCGCATGACCTCATGGCTGACTGCAGCAAAGACAAGTGATGTTGATGCCTCGAGACGCTTGCTTGCAAAAAGAAATGGAAACAAAGTGCATGCCTCTATCAGCATGTGCTGCAGTGTATTTTGCTTTCCATTTGTGAGGGTTTCAAAGACCTTCCTGAGAGATGGCAGCACCCACATGAAAGCCCCTGCTTTTATGGGCAAGACAAGGCTTGTGTGCCTCGCTTGGCCTGTGGGCACACAGAGGAACCTGCCCCTCTGACTAAGCTTTTTGGGCAGCAAATGCATTTTAATCACATATGTAAATCCATGTTTAGGTGTGTGAGCTTACAGCTGTCTAAATGCTAATGAGGGCAAGCAAAGGGGCCGGTAATCCCCCAGGAATGCAGGATTCAGCCCAGCCACTGATAATTGCTGCATTCCAGGTGGATTAGAAGTGTGAAACTTCATTTTACCTGTTTCTGACAAAATAACTCAGCAACAGGTGCCATGGAAGTAACATGGAGAGTGTTCTGATTGTGAACATTGAGGGCAGGCTCAGTGCTGGAGCAGAAGCTACAGGCTTTGGTTTGAGCAATAGGTTGGTTCAGTGCCCAAAGCTTCACCTCTGCTCACTGGGACATCCAAACCCCAGCTGGTATAGCCTGGTACTTTGGTGATTTTAGTGGTTAGGCAGCGGACACAGAACACAGAGGGTCATTCATGCAGTGCATGCTTCCTGCAAGTACATTGCTCTGCTCCCCAGCTCAGTCAATCAAACTAAGGATGGAGAGTGCTCACATGGAGGTATGTCCTGCTGAGAGTGCAGGCCTGGCCAAAGTACCAGTAAAAAATCACCCTGATCATAAGAAAACATCTGACACAAAACTATAATAATAAATAATAACAAGAAAGTTACCGGGGGCTATTTTTCAGCTCAGCTCAGATTGGATTTGCTGAAAAGTTACATTACCTTTGGTATCATTCGTGCACCTTTCCCTCTGTCTTTGGCTGGAGGCACACACCTTCCCCTGTGACACAGAGCGAACCAACTGCAGGCTCTTTATCAATCAAACCAGTGGGGCTCACCATGGAGAATGAAGAATACATCACCAATTGTGGTTGGCAAAGAATATTTCTTTCGCCTCAACAAGGTATGACCCTGACTTCTGTGATGAGGGACCACATCCTAGTGGAAACCCTGCCGTGTAGGTAAATGCTGCCTGGAGAACTGACACATAACTGCTTTCAGTGAAAGAGTTAACCACCAGAACTAGAGATTCCCTTCATATTTAGTACAGAAAACACATTTATGTTTCAACATAAAACTTTATGCACGCATGTTCATACAAAGAATTAACAAAACACAGACTATGAGATTTGGAGAAACAGTCCGTGGCAGAACTCCATGATGGGAAATGTCAGTCTAAATAGTTAATGTTTGACAAAATTATATGCAAATGGAAAGAGAGTGTTTGACAAATGGAACAGTTAGTGAGGTGAGCAGCATCCTCCACTGTGAACGGTGCATTAGAAGGGTTTCAAAGAGCAGACTGACTCAGAAGCTGCAGGCTTGGAATATGGGCTAGAGGAAGCTAAGCAGTTTGGGTTAAAGTGCTGGTGGTGCATACTTTACAAAATGAAGGGGAATAAGAAATATATCTCTTTTTCTCACTGTAACCTCTTCAGAGAGCTCAAAATCACACATAATTACCACTTGCAAATGTCTTTTTCCCTTCTATTAATTTAAAGCCTTTAAAATTCATAATAAAGCACAATGAGACAAAATGACTCTGCCCGATGCTTGTTAACTTTGCTTTCAGAGCCTAAGATCCACCAGACAAAATGTCAAGCAGTTCATAAACCAGCAGAGCTCACATCTTGAAATGCTTTTACCATGTGGAACATTTTACTGGAACAAGAAACGAACACAGCAATCTCCAGGAATCACAGAACAGCACGTAATTAAATGTCAAATGATCACAAGGCAAACAAGGCTTATCTTAAATGCTCCCTCATCCCTTTGTTTGTTGATTTGGCCGAGTCAAGAAGAATTATTAGGATTTTAAAGTCTGATTTCACATACTTGTACATTTTCTGTCCACTTACCTTTATCTAGCTCACTTGAGATGTTCCATGATGACGTAGGCATGAAATCAACAACCACTGACGAATTTGCTCCTGGAAGAGAAAAACAGAAAAAAAGAATGCTGTTACTATAGCAGTTCTGTATCACGAAGAGTGTAAAAGGCATTTGTAAATTTGCTCTCACAGTAATAAAATTATTTGAAGAAAACCAGTGATTAAAATGCGCCCGATGCTCTGTGTTGGCAGCTGAAACATATGGGCAGCAGAAGCAGCGAAGTGGAAAAAGGCACAGGGCCAGGGCTGGAGCTTGTTTGGCTGTGCTGTCACCGGGAGGCCTTGTGTTAATCAAGCAGCCAAGCTCTGAGATGTGCTTGGCCCACCTTAAAGTCCTTCCCTGGGTTTTATAGAGGTAGAATGACTGCACAGTGCTGCAGCTAAGAAAAACACAGCACTCCGAGGCTGCTGAACATGTTATCTACTAACATTTATGGAGATTTTAATCCTGTGAACCCATGAGCACAAGAAAAGATACCGTTTATGCACTGAAGTTAACAGGGCTACTTGTATGAGTAACCCTGATGTAACTCATGGAAACGCATGCCTCAGAGACTGGTCTGAACATCAGGAGCATCTCCTCACTGCTGCTATATATTTTCCCTGGGATTTAACACACACATATCTGAGATGTGGGAAGGCTGACCCTGTCCCTGGCTGGATCTCCAGCACATGCACATGCACAGAGATGCTGAGCAGCACTCAGAAGAAGAACACTGTAGGACACTGTAAAGGACATTGAAAAGCGTAACATTTTTATTTTGGCACCGTCCTTTCAGTCCAAAGCAACCTCAGTGCAAGGATATCCAAAGACCTCCTGCTTTTATTTGATCAGTGAGCAACTTTCGAGTTCATTAAGAAATCACGAGCAAACTGTAAACACAATGTCACACAAACGCACACGGCAGTTCAGTTCAGATACAGCCACTGCACTTTTTATAAATATCGTCTTTCTTAAAAGCCCACCTGGTAGCACTGCTTATTTAAGGCTCTGTCAAGTATTTCCAATGTAAACACAGAACCTGCAGCCATTATAACTCACCTACGGGCACAGTCCCCGGCCTGTGCAGATGTGCAGGGCACAAACCCACTGATGGGGACAGATCCTGAGCCCGTGTGCAGTGGCATCGCCGTGAAGCTATCCATGATGCAAGCCAAGATCCTGTCCCACTGTGTCTGTTCCTCTACATTCTTTTTTTTTTTTCATTTTATTTTCTGCATTATTTAATGCCTTTGTGTCTTTGTGCAGCACAAGCTTTCCCAAGCTGTTGCCATCTTTCCCACTGCTATGGGTGCAGCAGCAGAGCTGGGCTCCTGCTGTCTGTATTAGCACTGCTGTCACTTCAGATATCCCCACAACCATGCACACCTCTTGGGGCTTTTCCAAACACCACTGGCACAAACTCCCCTCCTGCTGTATTGCTTTTAGGGCACTTCAGCCTCTTAACTAACCCAAACGTTAGGGACTGGGGGCTGAGCAACTTGCCAGGCTGAAGGAAAGCAGCTTGGAGCAGAGCTCATTGATGATGGCAATCACTCAGCAGGAGGACACCATGGCCAATGGCACCGGGACTTGAAATTTTGGGTATGTGACAAAAGAGCAGCAGGCCAAACATTCAACAGGACGTGGTTGGTGGGATGTTTAATCTCTGCCTTGTGCTCCCATCCCTTCTACCTGAGAATGGAGCAGCTCCAAGAGTGTTTGTATCAATTTTTTCTTGAATAGCCTTTGGAAGCGTGATGGTAAACCTCCCAGAGCACACAGCCACTGCCTGATTTCCAGGAGGAGCCACACTACGACACCAAACTCCAAGGGGAGACATGCTCACTTTTCCCCAGGAGGTAAAGCCAAGTTAAAGTTTGTGAAATGGCCTTATGCATCACTAAGGCAATTTTCTGATACTCCTGAATTAAAGCTCTGATTTCAGAGCAAGGTATTTCTATGCCCTCAGTAAACACTTCGTAGGACTGAAAGGAACACACTGAGCAGCCACACAGCATGGGGACATACCATTAATTCTAAGTTAATGCAGAAAACAAAAAGTCACCGAGCAAACAAAGAGGGGAGGGGATCAAAGCTTTGAGCTGCTTCCCCCCAGGAGCAGGGCTGCCTCCTGCTGCACCTCACTCAGCAGCTCTGCCTCCTGCAGCAAAATGCATTCAGAAAACACAGACCAAGTAGGGCTTTTCTTCCTTTGCGTTTGTGAAATCAAGATTACTGTGCTCTCAAATGCACAGAAGAACTCCCAGCTCGCTTAGGAAATGCCTCCTGTGCTTGGAAAGCTCTTATAGAAAGTGTCTGAATTACATCTTGTAAGGTGATGTTTGATAACCTGGCTCATAGCACACCCCAGCAGCAGCCACAGGAACAGGGATGGGGTGCAAGGAGTAGCTGAGCCCTGTGCACATGAGCACACCTCCTTACTGCAGGAAGGTTACATGGGCTGTTTCAGCCTTCACCACACTTAACAGCCCACCAAAGCACCTCTGAGCCTAAAAACATGTCGCTCCCTCATGCATTCTTGATACTGCATACCGTATCAAGTTGTGGATAGAGAGCATCTCCAGGGGTGCTGAAGGCAGCACCTTGCTGGCAGCCTGTGCCAATGCCAGCCCACTCCTTCAGGGAATGCATTTTTCCCACTATCCAACCTACCAACATTCCAAAAACCAACCAACCAACCAAACAAAACCCATATGTTAATACTGCAATTGGTTATCAAACAAGGAGATGTAGAATTGATGTTTAATTATTAAAAATGCCCTCCTGTGCCCTGCTTTAAGCATATGAACAATGAGATGTGGTTTGCAAAAAGCCCGTCGGAGAAAGGTCCATTAATGCAAGTGGCAGAGGCCCATCATCCAGGTAAGATTTCATTTGCTGATGAATGAAGAACCTTAATGCACGAAAGTTAAATATCTGTTCAAAACTCTCCCAATGAAGAAATGCTGGTCACAGAATCATCTCAGAATCACAGAATGGCCTGGGTTGCAAAGGAGCACAACGCTCATCCAATTCCAACCCCCTGCTATGTGCAGGGTCGCCAACCAGCAGCCCAGGCTGCCCAGAGCCACATCCAGCCTGGCCTTGAATGCATCCATGGTCTTAAGTTAATGAGAAATCACAACAGTCAATTAAAACCTCTGTGAAAAGCCAAGCAAAGTGTATTCAAATCTCCTCCCCACAGAGAAGTTGGCTAACATCTGACTTTATTACCATATTGCACAAGTGCCGAGCAAATTTCACACAAGTCAGTCATTTGAAAGCCTTTGTGATTAAATAAACTTCAATAAGGTTTACAGAAAGCTGCCCAGGAAGAAGAACTGCAGAGCCTGTCCTTATCGCAGGCACACACCGCTGCCTCATTTTCTCACCATGAGCAGCCATCATTCAGGGGCTGTGTCTGCACCGCAGGGCTGCAGCCCCAGCCAAGCACAGGGCAGCCTCATCTGCTGCCCCACAATGAAAGGAGACAATCCAGGCCCTGTGTCCGGGCTAATTAATATCTCTGCACCATGCATTTGTAACATGGAGGAAAGAGAGTAAAAGTCAAAACAGGAAGAAGGCAGATAGCTAAGATGACACTGAACCCAGAAATGATTGAAGATTTTAATGGGAAATAAATCTGCTATAGAGAAACAAAGCAGAGAGCAAAATACGTCTGCAAATGTGGATGTTTTGCTTGCAAGGCAGCAGGAGCAATGTACGAGGGCTGCATGTCTGCACTGCTTGCTTTCCTCCTGGCCGAACTGAAAGAATCCCAGGCCTTGCAGCAACCCATCTTTTTGAGGCAGAAGATATGTCTAGTTAAAGCACACACACAAAAAATCAAAATGTCTTCAAAATGTAATGGGCAACCCCTGTTATGTGTCATACCGGGTCCTTCTACACCCTCATTACATGCCCTAAAGAAAGTCTGGATTAGCATTTTTCTTCAGTGAATGCACTGCAATATCTGCAACCCACATCTCACTGTGGGATACCCAAAATAGCTAGAAGAGCGTGGAGGTATTTAAAGTAGCCAAGGAGCTACGGGTCTGAGTAATAAAATAAACCATGCAAAATTAAACTAAATAAAAATGAAGTTTTCCAGTTGCAAATCTCTTCTTGAAGCTGCTTAGAAACCCTGTGCTGAGATTTGTTATCCTCTGAAGGAATTTGCCTAAGGAAGTGATAAAACCCAGATTGCACAAGACACTCAGAACAAGATCGGGCAAGGCGTTCCCACACACACAATGGGAAGCTGTCCCACGCCAACAGGAAGGTCAGCACTCATTTGGGCACCACTATTTGGCCAAATCATTGGCAAACATTACAGCAGCAGATCTATTAGCGACATTAAAAAGCTGAATTAAAATCTTCAGAAAATAATCTCCTTTAGCTGTATTACTTGAAAGTAGTATTGAGATAACAGGAATCGTAGATAAGACGACACAGAATGAGACTGAACCCTAATTATACCGAGTGTTCAGAATTTTTTGCTTTTCTGCACATTCCACATCTACACTTCACCCTTCCCTTTGTCTGGTTCCTACCCGACTGATCCGTTCCAACATCTCCCCACAAAGATGCCCTGTGGCTGTTCTCTTAGCCCTATCTCCACCATCTTTCTCCTGCAGCTCTCACTGTTTCACTGCTCCTCTCGAAGCTCCCCACACGTTTTCATTTCACCTCCCAAGACATTGCATTTTGCAATCCGCCCATCACCAACCCATCCACAGCCCACCCTGGAGGTGCTGAAGGAAATCGAGACATACCTGCTGCAGACTGTAATGGATACAACCCATTATTTGCTAATTTTCTTGTCTGTTTAATTGGCACCTTCCTGAAATTTCCATAATGTAGACCTCAAATGCTGCTCATATCTTTAATGTAAGAGAGGATCCTATTTCCACAGCATCAGCGTCTCTGCGTGTCAGTGGACATGTCTGCATTACACAATTCTTGCTGTTCAAAAGGAGGCAGGAATCACCCAAATCCCCCAGCCAGCGGGATGAGGCAGAACTGCAGTGAAGAGGGGAAATTGTTGAGAGCTTTT